TTAACTCTGTTTTCTCCTCCACAGATGCTGCCAGACCTGCTGAGCTTTTCCAGCAACTTTGTTTTTGACCAAGCTTTTAGTTGTCTGGTATAATTATCTGTTTACGTGGCTCAACATAATAGTGGTCTCAGCCACCTACGGACTCACCTTGAGTGTGGAAGGGAGTCATCCTTGTCTGCGAGGGGCTGCCAATGATGAATGGTCTTGTAATATTCCCATAAAGTGCTTTGGTTTAATTACATTAAAAACACTATGCAAATAAATTGTTCTTGATATTAGATGAACGTTTATCTGTCTTTCCAGCCAACAAAGATTTGTTAAGGCACATTTTGATAATTACATAAATTAGATGTCAGCTACATCTGCCCCACAATAGCCGAAAGAGACCAAATATATTTTTGTGCTCAGAATTCATTAATTTTCAGGGCGAGCTGCTAATGTGAACCACAATACACAGGCAGCTCATCACGTGGGAGTCAGCAAAATCCAACAGGGCTGCCACTATTTAAAGGCAGTCTGAGGACCACTTGGGACACTGAGAAAAAGCCATGGAAGTGAGTGGCTGTGGTGCAACAGGCATAGACTGCAGTTTTTAAGGATGACCCAAATCCCTTGCCAGAAAACTAGCTGCGTAAGACTGCCTTGGCAATTGCTGTTTTGGAGTTCAAATGCTGATGCACATCATACAAGCCCATGAATGAATCAAAGCATCCTTTCACCACACATGCTACAGCCTGAGGAGTAGCAGCTTATTGAAGCACTGAGCTTACTAAGTTGCCTCAGGCAACCATGTGGGCACTACTGTGTTATTTGGATATCAATGTAGGTAAATGCAATGTCATCCTTTTTTTTTTAAGTGAAAAGATAAGCACTTTCTAAATAGCAAGTAGCAAGGAACAGTGGAGGACAACAGAGTTCAAGGGCTGATGTACATAGATAATTAAAATGACATGAACAACCACAGGAAATAGCCAAAACTGCCTTCATGCATACAGGACTGGAATACAAGAGGGTAGAAATCATGCTGCAGTTATATAAAACTTGCTTCTAACTACACTTGAAGCAAACTTCAAAAATAATAATAAAGATTAAATTAAGAGTGAAGACGACACCGACTAAGGCTATAATCTATCGAACATTAGGAGGTGATTTGATTGAAATTAATGCAATTGATAATCTAGAGATGGGTTCTTCCAGGTATGGAGGAGGATCATTTAACTCAAAACGTTAACACTCTCTCTCTCTCCACAGATACTATCAGACCTGCTGAGTTTCTCCAGCGATTTCTGTTTTTGTTTCAGATTTCCAGCATCCACAGTTTTTTTTTGTTTTACTTTCAAAAGTGAAGTTATGAAACAATTCTCCCGCTAATGCTGGTAGAAGTTAGGATGCAGTCTTGCAAATAGCAGCCAATGGTAGATTAAATGTTAATTTTAAATGAGGTTGATAGATTTTTGTCATCCAATAGGTATTAAAGGAAATGTGAAAAAGGCAGGTACATGGAGTTCGGACACAGATTATCAACAATTGCAATGAACGAAGGAACATGCAGGAGTTCTAAATGGTTTGTTCTTGTTGCACAAGAATTGTTCTTATTCCTATGGCAGATGCAAATGTCTCACAGGGTGATCAATATTATGGTGTGTAGACAATTGGTAAATTGAAATCTGTGTGCAAGCATTATGTTTGACAAGCAGCTGCTAATTTCCTAATGTCAGTTGAGATAGTACTAATGTTCGTTTATGGACAGTTGCAGTTTTTGGAGGGCAGAAGGATTGGGACAGATACTGAACATTGCTTTAATGCAGCGCAGCAGAGGTCGCACAACTGAAACATTGTGCAACAAGCTACGGCCAATGAGCTCTATTGGCAGGTAGCTGCTAGAGCTCTTTCACTTCTACGACACCTGAATGTCACCTCGTCCATCACGGTAGAAGTCCATGCCCTAGCTTTATATTTTATCCTTATTGCTTAGTAATATTATGCAGCACAAAACAAACCACCATCATCAGGAGACTCTGAGCTGCACCAGGCTGCAGAATGATTGCTTGAGAAACTAAATGACTTGCTCAGTAATGACTCTAATCAATGCATGGATCTGGGTGTAGTGGAGATCAACTAGTGAATGCATGCTTTTGAGAACAGTGGGGATTCCGCAACGTCCAAATGTGCGACTATAACCTATGCTACAAAACCTACTACCAGGGCATTGGAAAATTGGGGACATTGCCTCCCAAAATTTTCCAGGCTTTTATCGGAGAGCATCTGAAGAGCCCGATAAACAACTTCTCTTGCTTACTTATCCAGCCATGATTTGTGAGAAATAAGAAGAATTGTTAATAACCAAAATGCCATCTGAGTTTTTAAAAAAAGCCTAGGACTTTAGTGTATTTATATTCATCAGACTGGTTCTGGGTACCTGAATGAATGTCAGTCAACGATCACATTGAATGAGATGTTGATATATTCTTTAAAGATCAATGCATTACTGTTCCAAAAATGTGCTAGCAGACAAAAATTGCCTGTTTGTTTACAGATGCAGTAAGATCTAACAGCCTTGGGAAATCAATGTGCTAAACCACAAGACAAAGCTTCAGACATGTCAATTTATATTACTCTAGCCTATGCTGACCATTTATAAAACTAGGGTGAAAATTTTAAATGCGCAAACAAAATATACAGCACAATCACTAAAATAGGAAGACATCTTACCAGCTGAGCACCTTGTTTCTTTAATCGATGATCAGAAAGATTTACAATCTCAAAAAAAGTTTTGAAGAGATTAAACCCTGTGAAAAAAACAGATTGGTAGTTATTGTTCTGGATTAAATCAGTCCCATAAGAAAGGATTTCTTATAAAGTTATATGCTTTCAGATTTCTAATCTTCCTTAATATGAATTACTATGCCAGACTATTAGCTCAATGGCCTGTCCTTGCAATTAGTCACTTCAAGCATTCTAACTAGCAAGGAAAAGGACATTAAGAATCTCATAACCACTAATGGTGAGATATAGGTACAAAGCCATCAGATCAGCAGCTCATTCATTCACGAAGGGAACAGTACACAAGAATAAACAACTTTTAAAATATATTTTCTCAAAGTAGTAAATAAGTTAAATTAACTGCATCTCCAAGTCTGGCTCAACACCTTGAAACAGAATAGTTTTCAAGAAATGTTAACAGGATAAGGAGTTCTGAAGACTGGAAGTGAAAACAAAAATCTTGAATTTTCAAGAGCTGGAAATTGATGGAAGAGTCTGAGAGATTGAAATATTTTGGAAGTTCAATCAAGTGCTTGAAGATCCAAAGATAACAAGGTGAATAAAAGTTTAATAAAAAAGAATAAATTGTGTAAATAATACACAACCCTTTCAAACCAAAAAGAGACTTTTACAAGGACATCTATGGTCATCTACTGAGAATGTATGATATATGTTTGTCTCAACAAGATTTTAGGGTAAAAATGCAGCATACAAAATTATTTTGCAAGGAATGAATCAATCTCAAAGCAAATTGTTTGTTGGAGGCAGCCCAGAATAAAAATGAATGTTGTCACTTCACTATATCACTATGCACTGAATTAAGTAAGGCACAACCTGCCAAAATGGCAGGGTAATCATAAATTCTATACTATAAGAATCCCACTACTTGTTTTATGTTCCAGTAGCACCATTTTACCTGCTTATATCTCGAATTTTAAACCAACTGCCAATAGAACTACAAATCTCTTTGCAAAATGGTTATTTGCATGAGGTCATTATTTAGTAGACTAGTAGTGATGTCCAAACTTCAAATTAGCAGTTAATCGTAATGTGTCTATCTACAAAATGAGATCACAATACTTCCAAAGTACGCATTAGTTCTGAAACACATTAAAGTTTCCAAAGGTTATAAAATATTTTTAAAAATGGAAGTTAGTTCATTTTTCATATACAAATTATCAACCACATACCATTCATGGTGATCTCGTAGGGTTCCAGTTTGAGGATTTTCTCTTTAAAGAGCTGTTGCTGTATATCACTCTCCAAGTCTCCATGTCCTTTGGTAAACCATTCAAAACACATCTGGAGAAAATTTGTTCAGAAAATAATTACAAAATAATTGTCTAGTGTTTCCTTTGAAAAATACTGAAATTTACATACAACACTATCTTCTATGGTATACTATACTAATTGACCTTTTAAGAAGGAATCTTGAGACCCTTTTATAGATCATTTACTGTAACCACCTGAATACAGAATAGATCCACTTCTGACAAGACTAATTATAAAAAGGAATTTGAAAGTTAAATGTTATGTTAATAAGGAAAGTACATAGGCGACAAAAGTAGAAAGTACATCAATTCATGATGATTGTCAAATAATAGAAAAACATTGTACCTCTCGATCCAGTTCACAAATATCTAATCCAGTTACTAGGCACTCCCAAATCTCTTTGGCACGGTTCCAGCCTAAGTAAAGGCTGGCTTCTTGAAGAAAAAATGCAAGAAACCTCAAATGTGCCTCTAGGTACTGTGGAAAATCAGACAAGACAGCAAAATACTATTAGAACTGCAGTAACAAGAAGAATCACTGTTGATCCTGATGCACAATTTTCATCAACATGTATCCCTCAATTAACACCACAAATACACTATCTGGTCATTATCACATTGCTAACTGAGGGAGTCCGTCATGTACAGGGTGGGTGCCCCAATTTCTTACATTACAACAGTAGCAATACTTTAAAAAAATACCTCAATGACTGTAAAGCGCTTTGAGACAATGTAATTGCCAGTATTTATTTCTTTCTAATGGCTTTGTCATTTCCCGTGTAATATCTAGTCAAATTTTTGGAATTGTGGTAAATTGAAATCATAAAATCAGGCAGAGGCATTCATATTTTGGAAATATTCATATGAATTATTGCTATTCTACAACCAAATGGAGCAGAAAAACCACAAAAGAAAAGCAAAACACCAGATTTTTTTTTCTGGTGATCACCAACTTTAGGGACACTGACTTTCTTTCCCGATCTTCCCCAAAATAGAAGTCAGCAATATTAACCTCTCCAGTGATGCCAGTTCTCAGTAGATATCAAACAATCTCCTTTTGTAGAAGTAAAGTGGCCTCAATCATGTCTCCTGTTTCTGTCCTCCAATTCTCTGCTAGCTATCTAAAATAAATGCTTTATTTCCCATTCATCTATACATTGCACAATGACCTTTTTTTTTCAGTTTAGCAAATGTAAATGTTGTCACTTCACAACATAGACCCTAAAGGCTGGCAATCATTCTGGCCACTCTTTGATAAACATTTTCTGAATAATACTATTACAAAAAATTGCTGGAAATAATACATTTGTTAACTTTTATTTTTCAGGCACCAAGCTAAATGAGTTCTGAGGATGGATGATATCCATAACATTAATTTAACTTTTCACTTCACAGAACACTAACTGATCTGTGCATTTCAACCATCTTCTGTTTTTGCTTTCAATTAGAATGCAATCTGTTATTGCTAAACGAAAACAAAAATGAGGAAACTGCTGAGGTTAAAGCAAAGAATAAAACACAGCCTTTCATGAATATTAAGCTAATGAAGGAGGAAACAAATACTACATACTAGCAGTTGAAGAATCAAATAACAATACCATTTTAATTCAGTTAGTTATTCCTTACTCATGGTTAAATTGATTTAAGGGAAGACTTTACGTTAAAATTAGATTTTCAACTTCAAATCAGAAATAATAAATTGAAAAATTATGATTTCAGTCAACAAGCTGTTCTTTAACATGAGATTTACGTGTTTAAATCTTTGTTCAGAGAGCTGTTAGGACTTGGAAAACGCTGCTTGGCAGATTGGTGGAGGTAGATTCCATAGGAGGTTTCTAAAGAGAAATGGATATATATTTGAAAGTGATGAATTTAGAGGACTGTGGAGATGGGGATGGAGAGTGGGACTAACTGGGTAGTTCTTTTGGGAGCTGATACAGAATTGTTGGGTCAAACTGATTCCTTCTGTTTTGTAAAATTCTATGATTCTATACACTGATGCACAAAGACTAGAAAGTCAGTGTTAATAAAATGCTTATGTTGCAAAGATCAAAGTATAAATCCAAACTGAAGGAAATTTCAACTTCAACATTAAATCATTATTGCGAATAAAAAAAATTAAATCCTACAGCATAAAAAGTTTAGAAAACAGCTATATTAAAGACATAAAATAAAAAAATTTGCACAGGTCAGAGGTTACATATCCAAGAATCCCAAATTCAACTTTATTTATTTATAAACCTGTTAATGTCCAAGACCTGCATTAATTTGTGATCATTTGTTTGGTACATTAACTAGTTAACCTAATATTTAAAAAAGAATTCCATGGTAAAATTACAAAAACAATTTACATATTGTTAATTATCCCTGAAACACTTACATCTTGATGTGTGTATCTGCCATCAACAACTGTTGACCCCGTTAGTCCTCCTGCACCAGCTGCAGAAACAGCCAGTCGATGACATGCCACAAGGCTACTTGTAACCAGTTTCACTATTTCAAAGTTCTTCTTCAAATCCTGGACAATGCTCTAGAAGGTAGAAAATAGGAAAGAAAAACACAAGAAGTCGGCTCTATTTTAATTAATGATTTACAACAAGTACATAACATTGAAGGGTTGGGTCATCCTTTCAACTTGACAAATTGAGATAAAATCCAATTGAACTAATGGAATTAAAGCGACTTCCTCTCTTTATGAAAGCTACGTATGCTTTCGGTGAAATTAGTACCGTCAACAAGAATTTGAATACAGAGTACACACAATACCAAGAGAAAAAGCTAACTTAGGGAAGCAATAATGACACTGGGAACAGAGAAATATTCCATGAATTTAAAATTTGAAGGAATTAGAGTGAAATATCAAGATTATAACAAATCAACATGACAAAAAATAAGAATAAATAATTTGAAAGAAATCATAACACCCCTTCCAAATCCTTGGTAAAAACCTGAATAGGTCCAAAAACACAGTTCAAGCTTTTTAACTGACTTAATGATAAATGAAGCTACAGTCATTATCACAAGGAATTATTGCAAGATGTAGATGTTCAAATATACTTGAATATCCTAAATATAACGGTTCCAGTTCCATTGGATCTACAAGTGTTTCCAACTTGGAACAGAGTCAGTCACCAAGGCAAGCACTATGAATTATAATGCCCAACCGATACCCAAATATTTTAACATTTTTGTTTCCATGAGTCAGAGAATAAAATTCATAGTTCCTAATCTTGGAATAATATAGGTGAAAACAGTACGTTTACTGGCCAAGTAGTTTGGCACTCAGTAGATTTAGAAATCCAGGAGCTGCTTTAGATTTATAGCTTTTAAAAAAATTACGTATTGAAGGAAATTGCAGACATATCCTTAAAAAAAAACAAATGTACAGCACTAAATCCAGTGCACCCAAGTTTGTTCCCAGGGATCAGGGATCTGACTCCTGCAGAAAGTCATGACCAAAACAAGTTAAGAATGTAACCAAGTGTAGTTTTTGCTTTGATGCCAAAATGAAGGGAAATGGAATGAAATGAGGCAGACACTCAAAATCTATATATTACAAGAATGGGCAAAACAATTTTGAATCATAGAGTCGTACAGCACAGAAAGAGACTCTTCGGTCCAACTCATTCAAACCAACCGGAAATTCCAATCTCACCTAGTCTCATTTGCCAGTATTTGGTCTATAGCCCTCTAAACCCTTCTTATTCATATAGCCAGCCATCCAGATAATTTTTAAATGTTCTAATTGTACCCGCGCCTCTATGACTTCCTCTGATAGCTCGTTCCACAGATGCATCACCCCACTACATGAAAAAATTACCCTTCAGGTCCCTTTTAAATCTTTCCCCTCTCACCTTAATCCTATGCCCTCTAGTTTTGGGCTCCCCTACCCTGGAGAAAAGACCTTGACTATTCGCCCTATCCATGCCCCTCATGATTTTATAAGCCTCTATAAGGTCACCCCTCAGCCTCAGATGCTCAAGGGAAAATAGCTCAAACCCTCCAGTCCTGACAACATCCTTGTAAATCTTTTCTGCACTCTCTCAAGTTTCCTTGAAGCATATGATTACAACATTTGAAAGGCATCTGGATGGGTATATGAATAGGAAGGTTTTAAAGGGATATGGACCCAATGCTGGCAAATGGGACTAGGTCAGATTGGGATGTCTGGTTGAGTTGATGATTTGGCCCAAAGGGTCTGTTTCTGTGCTGTATGACTCTATAACATTCTTCCTATAGAAGGGGTGACCAGAATTGTCTCCATCTGCCATCTGACCAAGGTCCCGTGTACTTCTGGATAATCAACTTCACTGTCCACTGCGGGGAGGGGAAGGGGCTGGTGATGGCCTCGTGGTATTATTGCTGGACTGTTAATCCAGAGACCCAGGTAATGTTCTGGAGACCCGGGTTTCAATCTCGCCATGGCATATGATGGAATTTGAATTCAATTTTAAAAAATCTGGAATTAAGAGTCTAATGAAGGCCATGAATCCATTGTCAATTGTCAGAAAAATTCATCCATTCATTAGGGAAGGAAACTGCCATCCTTACCTGGTCTTGCCTACATGTGACTCCAGATCCACAGGGGACATGTGGTTGACTCTTAACTGCCCTCTGGGTAATTATGGGTTAGCATTAAATGCTGGCCTAGCCAGCGACTCCCTCATCCCATTAATGAATAAAAAAAAGCCACCTATTTTGGTGTGATGTGCAAACTTACTAAACATACCTCCTACAGTTACATCCTTCACACCGATAAGTGTTAAATATTGCATGTAGAAAGAAATAAACCTGACATCCATACTCAATAAATGTGCTAAACTGGCAAAGTTTGAAGTTGAAAAGGCTTGGGACTCTTAGTGAACTGCATGATTAATAGATACATAAAGAGTTGTAATAAACAAAGCTGAATGGACGTTCAATTATGCAATTCGATTAATAGAATCCATCACAGCCCTGAGGAAATCCTTCTTTAACCAGAATGGTCAATACTTTGAATGGACCAGTAAGTTGCATAAAGATGAGGATGGCTAATTGGAACTCTCTGCCACAGATGGCTGCAGAGGTCAAGTCATTAAGTATATTTAAGACAGAAATAGAGTACTCTCCCATCCGCTATCCCGGTCTTGTAGTTAATAGAGAAGATTTCATAACCGTCTGAGATAACAAATTCCAGTGTCTTGCAACCCTCTGAGTGAAGAAACTTCTCATCTTAGTCCTAAACGATTGGCCCCTTATCCTGAGACTGCCTCCATGTTTTACATTACTCGATCAGTGGAAACAATCTCTCAGTATTTGTCCTATTAAGCCCTTTCAGTATCCTGTACGTATCAGTGAGATTGCCTCTCATTCTTCTAAAGCTTGGGAGAATATAGACTTAATTTGCTCAAAATCCTCTGCATCCCAGGAACTGATTTAGTGAACCTTTGCTATACAGCCTGCAATGTGGATGAACATACGAATTAGGAGTAGGAGCAACAGTAGGCTATTCATTCCAAGTACACAATATATATCAGTTAACATGTAAAGATATCTTTACTTCATTGTCGACTCTAAAACTACACACGGTGTTTCAAAATGGGCTCACCATAACCCTGTACAATTGTCGCAAAACTTCTTTATTTCAATACCTTTATAATAGACATGTCATTTTCCTTCTTAATTGCTTGAATTTCCTGCAATGTTAACATATTGCATACCTTGCACAAGCACATTCAAGTCTCTTTGAGCAGCACTTAAAAATTTTACACCTTAAAAAGATTAGCTTTTCTATTCTTCCAACCAAAGTGAATAACTTCACAACATTATATCCATCTGCCAGGTTGTACCCCACACACCACCTGTCCACATTGACTTGTTCAAATCACATTGTGTGTGCACTTCTAAGTGTTCTATAACATAACAATGACCATGTTAAAATTAATTATTTGACCATGTAGGACTGTGGCCTGTACAGATTATATAAATTCAAATTTCTTTAACAGCATCCTACAAATTTACCTGATTCAGATACGAGAGTGTTAGGTTGGCGGTGGCCTAGCGGCATTATCACGGGACTATTAATCCAGAGACCCAGGCAATGTTCTACATAGAAACATAGAAGATAGGAGCAGGAGGCGGCCATTCGGCCCTTCAAGCCTGCTCCACCATTCTTCACGATCATGGCCGATCATCCAACTCAATAGCCTAATCCTGCTTTCTCCCCATAACCTTTGATCCCATTCGCCTCAAGTTCTATATCTAGTCCCCTCTTGAATACATTCAATTTTTTGCCATCAACTACTTCCTTTGCTAATGAATTCCACTGGCTGACCACTCTTTGTGTTAAGCAATGTCTCCTGATCTCCGTCCTAAATCATCTATCCCGAATCCTCATACTGGGACCCCTGGTTCTGGACACACCCACCATTAGGAACATCGTCTCTGCATCTACCCTGTCCAGTCCTGTTAGAACTTCATAAGTCTCCATGAGATTCCCCCTCATTCATCTGAACTCTAGCGAAAACAATCCCAAACAAGTCAATCTCTCCTCATATGTCAGACCCGTCAGACCCGCCATACCCGGTATCAGCCTGGTAAACCTTTGCTGCACTCCCTTGAGAGCAAGAGCATCCTTCCTCAGGAAAGGAGACCAAAACTACACACAATATTCTAGGTGTGATCTCACCAAGGCCCTGTATAACTGCAACAACACATCTTGCTCCTGTACTGGAAACTTCTTGTAATGAAGGCCAACATACCATTTACCTTCTCTACCGCCTGCTGCACCTGTATGCTTACCATCAGCGACTGATGTGCAAGGCCACCCAGGTCCCGCTGCACACTCCCCTCTCCCAATTTACAGCCATTCAGGTAGTAATCTGCCTTCTTGTTTTTGTTTCTGAAGTGAATAACCTCACATATATCCAAATTATACTGCATGTGCCATTGATTTGCCCACTCACCCAACCTGTCGAGATCATGCTGAAGGATCTCTGCATCCTTGTCATAGTTCACCCTCCCATCCAACTTGATATCATATGCAAACTTTCGATATGTTACATTTTGTTCCATCATCCAAATCGTTAATATATATTGTGAATAGCTGGGATCCCAGCACCGATCCCTATGGCACCCCACTAGTTACTGCCTGCCAATTTGAAAAGAACAAAGAACAAAGAAAATTACAGTACAGGAAAAGGCCCTTCGGCTCTCCAAGCCGGCACCGACATGCTGCCCGTCACAACTAAAACGCCCGACCCTTCCAGGGACTGTATCCCTCTATCCCCATTCTATTCATGTATTTGTCAATATGCACTTTAAAAGTCACTATCATATCTGCTTCCACTACCTCCCCTGGCAGCAAGTTCCAGGAACCCACCACCCTTTGTGTAAAAAACTTGCCTCATACATCACATTTAAACCTTGCCCCTCCCACCTTAAACCTATGCCCCCCCAAGTAACTGACTCTTCCACCCTGGGAAAAAGCTTCTGACTGTCCACTCTATCCATGACCCTCAATCTTGTCAACCTGTGTCAGGTTGCCCCAAAACCTCCGTCATTTAGGTGAGAACAACCCAAGTTTCTCCAACCTCTCCTCTTAGCTAATGCCCTCCATACCAGGCACCATCCTGGTTACTTCTTTCTGTATCCTCTGCAAAGCCACCACATCCTTCTGAGAGTGTGGCGACACGAACTGAATACAATATTCGAAATGCAGCCTAACTAAGATTCTATAAAGCTGCAACATTACCTGCCAATATTTAAACTCAATGCCCCAGTCGATGAAGGCAAAGCATGCCATATGCCTTGTTGATGACCTTCTCCACCTGCATTGCCACTTTCAGTGACCTGTGTACCTGTACACCAGATCCCTCTGCCTATCTGTACTCTTAAGACTTCTGCCATTTACTGTATATTTTCCATCTGAATTAGACCTCCCAAAATGCATTACCTCACACTTTTCTGGATTAAACTCCATCTGCCATCTCTCTGACCAAGTCACCAAACGATCGATATCTTGCTATATCCTTTGATGGTCCTAATCGCTGTGTGCAATTCCACCAACCTTTGTGTCACCCTCAAACTTACTAATCAGACCAGTTACATTTTCCTCCAAATCATTTATATATATTACAAATAGCAAAGGTCCTAACACTGATCCCTGAGGAACACCATTAGACAACAGCCCTCCATTCAGAATTGCACCCTTCCATTGCTACCCTCTTCTATGACTGCGCCAGTTTTTTATCCATCTTGCAAGCTCATCTCTGACCCCGTGTGATTTTACCTTCTATATCAGCGTCCCATGAGGGACCTCGTCAAAGGCCTTACTGAAGTCCATGTAGACATCCACTGTCCTACCCTTATCGATCATCTTCATCACTTCCTCAAAAAACTCAATCAAGTTAGTGAGACACGACCTCCCCTTCACAAAACCATGTTGCCTCTCGCTAATATGCCTACTTATTTCCAAGTAGAAGTAAATTCTGTCTCGAAGAATCCTCTCCAATAATTTCCTTTTTTAAGGACCCATTAATTCCTACTCTTTGTTTCCTCTCTGCCAACCAGTTTCCTATCCATCTCAATACACTTCCCCCAATCCCGTAAGAGATTACTGTGCAAAATTAAAGCTTATGTGGGACTTTGTCAAACATTTTCTGAAAGTCCAAATATAATACATTGACTGGCTCCCCCTTGTCAACTCTACCAGTTACATCTTCATAGAATTCCAACAGATTTGTCAAACATGATTTCCCCTTCATAAATCCATGTTGACTCTGTCTGATCCTGCCACTCCTTTCTAAATTCTCTGCTATAAAATCCTTGACAATGGATTCTGGGGACCTGCATTCAAATGCCGCCATGGCTGATGGTAGAATTTGAATTCAATAATAATCTGGAATTAAGAATCTAATGATGACCATGAAACCATTTCCGATTGTCAGGAAAAACCCATCTGGTTCACTAATGACCTTTAGGGTAGGAAATCCGCAATCCTTACCTGGTCTGGCCTACACATGACTCCAGACCCACAGCAATGTAGGTGACTCTTAACTGCCCTCTGGGTAATAAATGCTTGTCCAGCTAGCGATGCCCACATCCCATGAATGAATGAATGAATAAATAAAAGGCATGCTTCTATGGTAGATTTAATTTTAATTATTCAATGTCACAAATATTACTAAGAAGACACAAAGGGATTCCTGACATGAAAGGCACCAAATAAATCCAAGCTCTTCCTTAATTAATTAACCCATAATGGAACTTTGTCAGTACAGGAGGACTAAAGAATTTCAGAGAATTCCTGGATGATTGTATCCAGCCAACGGTAAACAATCACCATGATTTCTGGTACTGGTCAGAAAATAAATTGGTTACTCACATCTACGAATCAATATCTTTGAGATTCTCTAGTTGTACAAAGGTACAATTAGGACATCCTGTGATCGGTTCATCACCCAAGATGGCAACTTAGATACATTTGTTTCCTAGGTAAATCTATTATCACCACAAAACCTGCTACAAGAAGCAGGCAATTTTTTAAAAATATGGCTGGAAAAGACAATCCAAGGTGGTACAATCCCATTCAACAAATGATTCTGTATGGCACGTGGACAAGTTCTTAACAGCCACACTGCAGAACAGTGTTGTGAAACAAGGAGCTGTCTATTGTAAATACTAAAATCTATCAGCAAGATGTTACACCAACATCAGTGAGAGAATTTCATAAACAGAAGTGATGACTTTTCTCCAACAATTCTTGGCTTATCCTTTATGGATTCAAATATCAACCAAATATTAATAGACAAAAAAGGGACAAAATTGAGAGGTTGGTACAGATTCTTAGGTAAGGGTGTAAATTGGAAGAAAGGGGTATATCCTAATTCTAAATTTTCTAATTCTACCAACCAAGGCTCTACGTGAGCAGAGTGTCTCAATTTATGCCACTCAAATACTAACCACTAAATTTGACTATAGTTAAGTTTTGTTCAGTCTTAGGAAACAACAAGTGATTTCCTGAAATGGGCTGATGCAACAATAGGATAACTCCACAGTATAGAGTCATGACCAGAATTCTCGACTTCATAATTACCTGATGTAAATTTAAACTGCTTGTTTTAGAGAAAAGGCAGAAAAAAAAGTTAGACATTATCCAAGAAGAAAGAAAAGAAAACCGCATTTACTACATATCTTCAGATTATTATTCCAATATTTTACGGAATTCCAAGAAGAACTAATCCACCAGTCTCATCCAATGAAGAATGAATGGCTAAAATACTGCAGAAAATAAACTGAGACCACATCAGTTGTATGAGTATGTGGTGTACAGTTCTAGTCTCCTATTTAATAAAGGATATACTTGTAATACAAGCAGTTCATAGAGGGTTCACTGGATTGATTCTTGGAATGGGGGGTGTCATCTAATGAGGAAAAGTTGGTCTATGAAGTTTAGAACAATGGGAGGTGATCTTATTGAACCATAAAAGATCCTGAGGAAGCTTAACATGGTGGATGCTGAAAAGATTTTTTTCCCTTAACAGGAAAGCCTAGAACTAAAGGAAATGGTTTAAAAGTAAGGGGTCTCCCATTCAAGACCGGAGATTAGAAAGATTTTCTCTCAGGTGGTGCTTTCTCAAAGAATAGAGGAGGAGGGATCATTGACTTTTTTTTAAAATTAGAAGTAGATTGATTCTCTTGTTAAATCAAGAATTTAAGATTAACATAAGTAGGCAGAAAACTGAAGCCTAGCCCACAATCAGATCAGGGCGCATATGTGCGAATGGCAGAGCAGGCTTGAAGGGCCTACTCCTATGTTCATATGTTTGCATGCTTACTTCTTAAACACTGAAATGGAGGACTGAAGCTGCCTTCCAGCATGCATGCCAACTCATGTATGATGCTCTGAAAATCAGTGTGTGAATCAGGTAATTGCAGTTAGAATATAATTGTTATCTAAAGAACACAAATGAAAGATCTGAAATCTGGGTATTTCCTAGAATATTGCTTTAAATTGATAAATAAAAATTCTTAAAGAACATAAACCGCTTCAAAATGCTGCAACCCTAAGTGTAGAAGTGGAACATCACTGCTTCAGCCAACGACAATACTGAGCTGGATGTCAGTGTGAGTTAGTTGTTTATCTGCCAAAGTTAATTACCTTTAATACCTTTTCTCTCAGAATTTACTTTCTAGAACTCCTAGGTTTCCCCATCTTACTTACAGACCATTTCAAGATTATGCTAATAGTCCATTCTTTTTACCTTGTCTTGTTTCTGACAGCTTTGTTTAATGAAGGACCTGGTAATCTCATGAAGCTGACGTAAAGCTGGAACCACCCATACTGGATGTTGGTTATTTTGCTGAGAGGACTGAGAAGAAAAAGCAAAATTTGAAACAATATAAATGCCAAACAGCTTTTATTGTAATTTGAACAATACTAAATATTTAAAACATTTCCAGTGAACTGTACCAAATGAAATTAGTTATCATCCAGTGATTCCATCAACATGCATTCGTGGAAGATAAAGGTTTGACAAACCACGAAGAAGATACCCACTGCAAATCAAATGATCTATTCTACACACTGAAATAAGTTCTAGCATTAAAACAACATTATACATTTGAATTATAAAATCAAAGGTGAGGATGTGTAAACATCAACACAAGCTTCAAATAGTTACTTCAACCAAGTTTATCTTGCAACTTATGGAAACATTTGAACTCTTAATCATTCTCCTTGTTCCAAGATGGAAACTTGTAAGATGAAAGAGTTATTTTTATTTGAGTGAGCACTGGTTAAGTATTTTATAACGTTAAAAAGTTGGACATTGTAAAAGTAACAGTTTAACATTAGCAGAGTTACAAATTCAACAATACTGCAGGTTTATCAAAGCAGTTGTAATCATCAACTCACTAAGGCTCTTAACTCTTCAAATGCAAAACAAAGACAATGTAACTATGTACAGAAACAAGCCTGTGGGATTATTTAATCTCTATATAAGCCACACTGATCAATCTTGCTCACTTGCTTATGCACCAAACCCTAATGTACTTTCTTCATCAAAATTTGGTGGGAGAACTTGTGTTCGGAAAGTTTTGAATGTGGAATATTCTAAGTAGTCCAAATCCCAACCTCACCAAAGGTTATGTATATGGAGAGTCAAAGTTATAACCTTCAAGTGAGGTTGGGTTAGACACTGCAGTAGATTTACCAAGGATCACTAGCATAATTCCTTCATCATTCTAATTCTATGTTCTTTTCAGACAAGCTGGAGTCTCTTTCACTTTTAATGCAAATTTCCTCAACTCCCTTTGTATCTCATTTGCTCTTCAACATTTATTGCAACATAGATAAGTATCAGGTTACTTGCTTTAGTTAGAGGAATAGAAAGGCAACTTATTATCTAAATGGAGAGAATCTTCACAGTGCTTTGGAGTTGAACGATTTGGGTGCCCTCATGCACGAATTGCGGGAAACTAGTATGCAGGTACAGTAAGTAATAAGGAGGCAAATAAAATTTTGGAATTTATTGCTAAAAGAATAGAGTATAAAAGTAGGGAAGTGTTGTTGCAATTGTTCAAGGCATCAGTGAGACTGCACCTGAAGTACTGTGCATATCTTTGGTTCCCTGACTTGAGAAGGAATATAATTATAATGGGAGCAATCCAGAGTAGTTTCAATACATTGATTCCAGAGATGAAGGGTTTCCCATATGAAGAGACATTGAGCAGTTTAGGGCTGTACCATGGACCTTATGAGAATGAGGAGAGGTCTTATTGTAGCATTCAACATGCAAAAGGGGATTGACAAAGTACACGTATAGAGAATGTTTCTTCATGTGGGGCAACCATATGAGCAGCCATAGTTTTAGGATAAGAAGTAACAGATTTAAAACAGAGATGAGGAGAAATTACTTCTCTCAAAGAGTCGTGAATCTGTGGAATTCACGACCCCAGACTGCAGTGGAAGTGGGGAATTTGAGTAAATTTCTATTGAGTAATTGGTTATGGAGAAGAGCCAGGGAAGTGGAGTGGAGGCCAAGTTGAGATCAGCCATGATCATATCAAATTGTGGAGCAGGCTCAAGAGATGGGCTGAATTGGCCAAACCTTTCGTCTCCATAGATTTTTTTTCATAGAATCCCTACAGTGTGGAAACAGGCCCTTCTGCCCAACAAGTCCAAACAGACTCTCAGAGCATCCCGCCTAGGCCCATGCCACCTATAACCCAGCTAATCTACACATCTCTCAACACTATGGGCAATTTTCATGGCCAATCCACCTAGCCTGCACATTTTTGGACTGTGGGAGGAAACCTGAGCACCCGGAGGAGACCCACGCAGACACGGGGAGAATGTGCAAACTCCACACAGACAGTCACCCAAGGGTGAAATCGAACCTGGATGCCTGGCGCTGTGAGGCAACAGTGCTAACCACTGAGCCACATGCTGCTTCAAGCTCTTTTGATCTTAAGGCTTGTGAGGGAGTGCAAACAAGAATCTCAACAAACGTTTCAGGTATGAATAACTTCAGTTGATTGGATAAGTGAGGACTTTGAAGGAGGTGATTGAGAGGAGATTTGATAGAGGTATTAAAAAATATGCGGAATGTGGATAGAGTGAAAAGGAAGAAACTATCCCCATTGGTGGGAAAATCAAGAACCAGTGGGCATCGGTTTAAGATATTTGGAGAACTGAGGCAAATATACTTCAGACAATGACTGGTTAGGATCTGGTATGCACTGTCCAAGAGTTTTCTTCTTTGGAGCAGAGGGGAAACCTGGTACAGGTGTACAAGATTCTGAGGGACATGAACAGGATGGATAGAAATCAAATATTCCTCTTAGTCAAATGGTCAAGACCAAGGGAGCACATTTTTAAAGTGAAAAGCAGGAGGTTTAGAGGGGATTTAAGCAATTTCTTTCTACCCACAGTGTGGTGGGGTCTAGAATGTACGGCCTGGGAGGGTAGTTGAGGGAGGGAACAACATAATCTAACCATATAGTACTTGGATGAACACCAAGTGTCATATCATTCAAGGCTATAGGCCTAGTGTGGGAAAGTGGAATGGTGTAAGTGGTACTGTATTTTTGGTGAATGTACTGTATTTTTGGTACAGACTTGATGGGCTGAAGGGCCTCTTCTGCATTGTCTAATTCTATGTTTCTATGAGTGTGCAGACAGGGTCAATTTAAGCTTTCTAAAGGGAACTGAATCAATATATGAAAGGGACAAATTTGCAAAACTTCATTTGGTGCTGATCATGCTAAAGACTGAAAAAATATTGATTTGAAATCAGTAGTTAATCCTATCATTTGGACTTGGCATTCTGATTGATCATTTATAATTATCAAGCAACAATGCTAAAAATGGTCCATTCAAACCATGTAACTCACTGTTAAATTAGCGCAAGTGCAGATCACAGTGCGGATACTTCAAGGGATGTGGAATTAAATGATTGTACATGTGGAAGTCTGATGACAACATGGACTACTTAGATTAACGCGTGTTCTAATTTCTATTTCATTCTACTTTCTTTTCCCAGTCCTTTTAAACTGAGGCTTTTAAGAAAATTATCCAACGTATAATTTCTTCCGCAAAGTTACCAACCTTCTTAATATCCTCGATACATTTAATGATATAACTTCGCTTGATTTGCTCCTTTACTGCATAAGCTTCACTAAGTATGGTGAGATGCTCTTCCAGTGCCTGCTGGACTAAATTTGTGGGTAGTGCTGGCAAATGGGCAAGCTCCCAAAGCACCTCCAGCACCTGTTGTTGGGTACAGACGGCAAAGGAAGTATTAAAAACAAAGAAAAAACAAACTTTACCATCAATCTCAAAATCACTCATACTCATTTGTAATGTCTTGTCAGACCTGTCAGAATGGTTCTTACCTTTCCTGTGGTGTTCTCAGAACGTGCTTCTCGGCCAATTTTTCCGATAAGACTGAGCAGTTTTTGTCGGATTCGGTCACTCTCAATCTCCCAACTCTAAACAGGAATGGAGAAAGTTTTATCCATCAAACAGAATTCTACCATCAAACTATTTCTGCACTTTGAGGGATGTTTCATGTTTTATTTGTTAAGTAAAGTGATTAGGCCATCACTTGGTCTGTACCAAACACCTCAGTAATATGCAAAACTGTTTGCTTCTCTTAAATGCATAAGGTGGCCCCAGCAGGTGCAGACTGGTTATGCAGGGGCCCGGGCTTATCCCGAAACCTTCTTAGCCAGGACTACCCTTGCTATGGTAGTTCAAAGTGTGGTAAGCTTTTCACCACACGTTACTTACATACAAGTGTCTTGTGCTTCCATGCACAGAAAACTGCAGTATCTACTCTAGCGGAACTAAATCTGTAATGCAAAGTTGCCTTAACAAAACAGACTTAGAAACTAGGATAAGAGAACTGAAATACATTTTGGAGATGAAAAGGTCACTGACCTGAAACATTAACTCTGCTTCTCTTGCTATATACGCTGCCAGTATCCAGCATTCTGTTTTCAATGTCATTCCACTTGGCCTTCATTACATGGCTTTAACAAGAGTCAAGGCCATCTCCAGATACTTCCTTATATTATTATTATTAATAATTACAAGACTCTTTATAGCCTACCTTTTCGACCATGGTTTTGGCCATCTGACCAAACGTCATGTGGCTCAGTGTCATACTTTGTTTATCATGCTCTTGTGAAGTGTCTTATGACATTTTATTACACGAAAGGTACATAATAAATACAAGCTGTTGTCGTAATGGGGCATTAAAAAGAAACTCTATCATTTATTTCGCCACAATGTCAAGACAATTTTACCCTCAGTCATGTCATGCAGAAAGATACCACTGGATGCAACATTCATTAAACAGAAGTCTTTACATTTTGCTCATAATCTAACAGTCAGCTAAATAGAATTAAAAGAGAGAACAAAGGTGAAAGGGAATGTTATAGCTAAATTTTAAAGCGTTAATCCAATGAAGTCTATTTTACGTTTTCTTTCTGAATGCATTGTTATGTTGTTGTAAACCCACACAAACTAATACATTTTTTTTGTTTGGAGGGTGACCATGGTGCATTATAGCATGAAAGAAATAGATGGTTACATCCAATCTTTGTGCAAAACTTTATCAATGTGAACTGTCAGTTTGGATAACACAACAATTTAGACACACATCTCCTTATGTGACTCAATACTTAAGTACTTAGTACCTTATCAGGAGCACAAGCAAAATCCTAGGACAAGATTGTTTATTTGCAAACTTCATTTTGGGGAAGTAAAAACAAGGCCTCTAACTGCAAATCCATGCAATTTCTCAAAATCTCTTGCCTCAACATCTTAAGTCTCTCGGTTCCAAGGAGAACAGTTCTAGCTATTCTAAACTCCCTTTACAAGTGGAGTCCCTTAACCCTTGCAAGACTTTAGGGAACAGAAATTTAGAGATTGACAACTATTCTCAAATGTGGTATCCAGAGTTGTATCTAGTAATTTAAAATTCAGCATGATTTTTTAGTATTTGTCACCTTCAACTAAAAGCATAAGTAACCAAATAATGTTTTAACTACCTTATCAACTTGCCATACCATCTTTCTTTTTCCTCTACATTTCATAACACCATACGATTTATATTAGTCCTCTTGACTGATGTGCCTTAACTCATATCCTTAGACACTGATCTCTATCTGCCATCTTCTGTCTGTTTAAAAAAAAAATCATGGAAAAAGTTGCAGGGCTGGATGAACACAGCAGGCCAAGCAGCATCATAGGTGCAGAGAGGCTGACGTTTCGGGCCTAGACCCTTCATCAGAAAAGGGGGAGGGGAAGGGGGTTTTGAAATAAATAGGGAGAGAGTGGGAGGCGGATAGAAGAGGATAGAGGAGAGGATAGGTGGAGAGGAAACAAACAGGTCGAAGAGGCGGGGATGGAGCCAGTAAAGGTGAGTGTAGGTAGGGAGTTAGGAAGGGGATAGGTCAGTCCAGGGAGGACGGACAGGTCAAGGGGGCGGGATGAGGTTGGTCGGTAGGAGATGGAGGTGCGGCTTGAGGTGGGAGGAGGGGATAGGTGGGAGGAAGAACAGGTTAGGGAGGCAGGGACGAGCTGGACTGGTTTTGGGATGCGGTAGCGGGAGGGGAGATTTTGAAACTTGTGAAATCCACATTGATACCATTGGGCTGCAGGGTTCCCAAGCGGAATATGAGTTGCTGTTCCTGCAACCTTCGGGTGGCATCGTTGTGGCACTGCAGGAGGCCCAGGATGGACATGTCGTCTGAGGAATGGGAGGGGGAGTTGAAATGGTTCGCGACTGGGAGGTGCAGTTGTTTGTTGCGAACCGAGCGTAGGTGTTCTGCAAAGCGGTCCCCGAGTCTCCGCTTGGTTTCCCCGATGTAGAGGAAGCCACACCGGGTACAGCGGA